TTCAATTGAGCCCATTGCCCCTTGTCCTGTCCCTGCAGTTCCTAACACAGATCCCTCTCCAGCTTCCCTGGAGCCCCTTCAGATACTGATAGTCTACTTTGAGGTCAGGTCTCCACCTTCTCTTCCCCAAAACTGAGCAATCCTTCCAAACACAGATTTCATGGTGCACCATTTGCCCCAAAGATCTGCGGTATTCTATTTTCAACCTAAATTCAAAATTCTCAGGATAAATGCCTACTAGGCCTAGGCTTCAATTAAATTTATATTGCCAGCTTCAATGAAGCCATCTGCAGTAGGAGTGTAAATAAAATGAAATTTAGCACTCCCATTCCTGAAATTGAAGCTATGTGTGGTATTTTACACATTTAATGTGAGTTCCCCAAATGTCATCATAAAGGTAAACATGCCAGTTTTAAAATATCAGGCCCAGCATGTAGCTGCAATATTTGACAATAAAATCTGGCTTTATCAAGAGAAAAAGGCAAACAAAGGTGAAACATGACTGTGGTTTTCCACTTCAAACAGATAAAAACTAGGAATCCTCCTCCTCAAAACTGTGTTGCATAAGTCTTACAATAACCCTCATATTCATACTGTAAATTATTTCTAAAGAGAGAAAACAATTTTAAATATATTTGAATGCTATTTCAAGCAGATTAAGCCCTTTAATTTAAAAGAACAATTTTTCAGCTTCTAGATTCTAGGCTGCTCTTTTGGTAGTTTCTAAATGTTTATTGCATTCCTTCACTTCACTTGAAGGTTGCACTAAGGGCACTGCAAACCAGTGCACTAAGTAATGTCATTGCATGGGCCAAGACTTACTGAAGCTTCTTTCATGCCAAGGAATTACAAAATAACTGACATGAAGAAGAAAATACATTTATAGCTGAAGCAATTTTACATCAGGAAGATGAAAACAAGGATTAATAGATTTGACTGAATGGTCTTTTGTTTGCACAAGGAAAAAAAAGGTAAGTTTAGAACAGTGTGCCTAAGGTGGAAGTAACTGATTGTGGTCTAAGGCAAAAAGATTCATCTTTTATATACTGTATGGAAAACACAGAGAGAAATTTTCAAATAAATGCAGAGCAGGCAAAAAAATACATCAGCTAATGCAGATTTATACTATGAATTGCTTCTACTGTAAAACAGAAAACTTAACACCTTACTCATACTGAATAGTCACTTTACAAATGATAAAAATCAAATTAGTCTTAAAGTCACTGGGCTATTTGCAAAATCAATGATAAATTAAGTGCAATAAAGACAACAGAACCTAGAGCCACATATCTTTAATATCTCATTGTTTAATATAAGAAAGAAGTCTACTGTGCAATCTAAGAAGGCAAAACTGCATTTGTGACTATGACTTTGCAAAATTAAAAGTGTCTGTGTGTTTTTCATGCTGGAATGCATCCAGCAATTATGTTACTCTCCACTGGGAATGTATTGCCATTAGATTATGCAGAGAGAGAGAAACAAAAGAGCTCATGTATCATCATTTTGGGATGAAGTGTAGTCTTGCTAAGGAAAGTATTGTCACAAGCATATTTTGTATTGGTCTTATTTTCAACAGTATTAGAATGTTATGAAAGATTGTCAAGGAATTTCACTGTGATTCCCAAGAATGAATTTACTGCTCCAATTTCATTAGAAGTTTTTCAACCACAAATTTCCCTTCAACACTACGAGGATTGATACTGGTTGAAAGTGATAAGGAGAAAGCAAATGGTTCTTCAAATTACACCTGCAAAAACCTTCTTGGTATTGTAATTCCAGTGTTACCTTGGAGAAAATCACTAAGGATTGGTATCTAGCAACCCATGACTTCATTAGACAACTGACAAAATGTGTTTACTAAGATTTGAACTTGTAGATACACAGAGCTTAAATTTGCCTTGCATTGTATCTGCACTGCACTACATACAACAATATACTGACCCACAGTGACCATTATCCCCATTATACATTTGCTGTATGCAATAACCACCCTCAAAGCCTTATTCACCAGAGGGAACAATAAAGTGAGTGTTTATTGTATTATATATAAGAGTACATATAAAACTAACCCAACCCTTAGCAGTCCTAATGTACAGGATTAAAGGAGGTAATAAAATGACCATTTTAAATCAGTAAATCCTAAATTTCGTTTATTATCCTTCACAGAATAATCAACCATCAGGCATGATGTGATTAAAATCACAAATCTCACCACTCCAAATCTGTTTTGTTGTTTGGACTGGATATTTTACTATACTCTCCTCCTAGAGGAAACAGCAAATTGAATGAAAAATAATCAGAAATGAATCCTACATCTACCTTCGTACACACGTTTCCTTTAGCTGGTGGCTGTTCTATCAATATAAGCCACTGTGTCCAAATTTGAAGAGGAATATCTGCATTTATTTTCAGAACACACCCACGTGTTACACAAGTCTCTACGATTTCAGTTCTCTCTTCTAATTGTCACTTTAAAAAGCACTTTCCACTCAGACAAAAAGATTAACTAAACCTCACCATATCATTCGACTTGAAACTCTACTGTAAAACACACAAAATGATTATTCAAGGTCACTGAGTGAATCACTGCTTGAGATATAAATTTTGTATTGCATTTCCAGTTCTTGTTTTGAAAGGATTAACTCAAATATATGAGGATTTCCAACTAAATACTTTCACTGCTTTATGCATAAACATTCATGGCAACTATAAGGCACCCTGATGAGTTATGATCTAAATTGTAGAGGCTTCTTTTTTTAAACAAAACAAAACACAAAAAAACCCTAGATACAGGTACATCCCCAAGCACTAAAAAAAGTAATTCTTAGTTGCAGTGCAAATCCAGCTTATATTTCATAGAATCATAGAATCAACCAGGTTGGAAGAGACCTCCAAGATCATCAAGTCCAACCCTACTGTGGTCACTAGACCATGGCACTAAGTGCCACATCCAGTCTCAGCTTGAAAACCTCCAGGGATGGTGAATCCACCACCTCCCTGGGCAGCACATTCCAATACCTGACTACTCTCTCCATAAAAAATTTCTTCCCTTCTATTTAGAATATGATTAATCTTCTAAATACAATGATTTGCACTGAAATGTGGTAGGAGCCAATTAACAAAGCTCCTGTATTTCACACACACACTCATGCATTTTTTAAATCTCTAAATTTGAAAAAGCCAAACCAGAAGTTTGATTAAATTCCAAACTTAAACCCAAACCCAGTATAGCTAATAATCCAATTTAATCTAAACACCACAACTCATCCAAGGATTCTCATGTCAAACTCATAATTCTGGTTGAACCACAGATCTAATTTCAACAATAGAAAACCATCCCACTTCTCACTAAGGCATTCAAAGGTATAATCAACCTCACTGGGAAAAATATGGGTTTGTTCCAGCCCAAATTTATTCAGATTCAGATTCTAACCTTGCGATCTCATTTTGCCTTTGCCTGTTGAGCAAGAAAAGCACATAGAAAATATTAACAGTGAGGAAATACACATATATTTCATACTATTTAACTGCCTGTGTTTCTGCTGGATAATTCAAGGATTATACTAATGCAAGAAAAATGTCAAGAGAAAGTTGAATTCTTTATGGCTTACAGTAGACTGCTGTATCACTTGACACTAAAGAGTCCCAAGGTGTAAAATATTATATATATTTTACGATTTTACAAATGAGTGTTATAGATTGAAAAAGCTTTAAGTGCCCTAAGGATCAATACTAATATGTTTTTGAGAATTACTTTATACATACACCAAATATGCTTTCCCTTCCATATTTAAATGTTCCTCTTTATGCCATTTTATTTTATACAGTAAAATCTTTCATATTTCACTTACTTTTTTGTCTTCATTATATTTATGGAAGATTTCTTGTGCTCTTTCTTCACCACCATCCGTAAACAACATAATAATCTTATTGCAGTTAGCTCTGGAGACACTGTGCTGTAGGAGATACAAACAGAAGGGGTTTTATATTTCAGGCTATAAGGAAAAACAACTGTTATATATTTGATGGTTCTTATAGCAACATGCTTACTATATTAATATGGCAATGGCTAATGCACCACATCCCTGGGCAGTGTCTCGTCACCCTCACAGAAAAAATCTTTTTTCTCACATCCAACCTAGACTTTCCCTCCTTCAGTTTGAACCCTTTATCCCTTGTCAAATACTCCTCAAAGAGAGAGAATTGAGAAGAAGCCTCTTTGACTCCTTATTCTTCAAAGTAGCTAGTAAAATCCCTGAGAAAAATGCAGGAAGAAAAACATTGTTCTGCTGCCAGAATGGAGATGAGTATGAATTTTGCCTCCTTATGAAGGGAGTCAAAGGCTCCTCCATTGCCCTTCATCCTCTTTCCTTATTCTCTATAACAATCTTGTCTAAGAAAATTGCTCATGACTTTTGCAACCAGCATTCCTTGCCCTTTGTGTTGCATACAAATGGTTCTAGTCAGACACATCTTGGTATTTCTGAGTTGCTGGATTTGACAGAGTAAAACCCTTAGAGATTCAGTGACATAAATTCAACTTCTCTTTCCATGAGCCTGAACTTTGCTCTATGAATTTACTACAGAGTCAAGAAAATAAGTAGAAGATTTGTCCTTACAAAGCACCCAGTTCTCTCTTGTTTTATTCTTTGTGGCTTGATAGTGACTGATTATTACCAGACTGGCCAAGTGTGATGATCCCACTCCCCTTTGCCACTTTTCATCCTATTTGCTAATCTAATTCCTTGTTCTGTAACAAAGAGACTGAAAAACCAGATCCAGACCTCAAACATCACCCAATAATTCTCAGTATTGCAGCTCCACAGTTCTACTATGCTCCCAGAAAGCTAAAATGCAAAATCTTTATTTGCCATCACTATGTTAATAGAGTAAGAGCTATTCTTCAGAGATGATTTATATTGATCCTTCAATATTCAGTGAACACTTACTTAATAATTTGGAAAAAAACCCAAAGATTTTCTTGCATGTAGCGACATATAAACCCTTGAAATCAACTCATTCTGTCCAGCCTCCTCAGTCCACTGTGTTTCAGTTGGAGTTAAATAATTTATGACCATTTTTCACTTGTGAAATAAACCCTACAAGATACTGCTTTGGGCTGCAATTTTTTGATATTAAAAAAGTAATAAGAGTAGAGTTGGATACTTCATAAATAAAGAAATTCACCTAGATTCACAGTGATTTAATACATAGGCCAAAATAATATCCGAGGGAATCCAAAGAGACGACAAGGAAAGGGACTAAAACTTGGTCTTATTATAAAACTTTCCTATTGATTTTGAAGCAAACACTACTATGGGCAATGTGAATTTGAGCTAGGCCTTGCTTTCACTGGCTGAATCAGGAATTTTCTAGTGGCTTACTTAGCATCTAATTATATAGTATCAGTGTTTTCTCTTTTCTCCTAGTACTTCCAGCAGGGCATTTATTTACACTACATTGGTTAGACACTAAAGTCATGTCACAGAAAAAAAAATCCAAAAGTTTAGCCTCCAAACTCTATTGGAAATCTGAACTGGAAAAAGCTCAAATCAGATGATATTACCCCATCCTGGGAGTGTTTTAGGCCTGGTTTTTGAGCAGTTTGCCTCAGCACCCAATGGATTGCTCTGCTCTCCCATCATGGACCACAGCAGAAGAGGAATGTGTTGTCTATACAGGAACTTCCCCAGCATAAAAAAATGACTTCTTAGCTCAAACCACAGAGGAATACAAATTGGAGCTGAGCTATGTGTTAATTTTTAGCTCTCTCTTCTCTTTGATAGAGGGCTTTTTTTTTTCTTTCAAATAAGCAAGCAAGACATGACTCATTTCATACTGTGCCTAAAATTGCTTTTGTTTTATACCACTTTCACACCTTTAACTCATTAAGTGACAGGTCACAATTACACCTTGTGATGTGACACCAGGAATGTATTTTTCAGTATTTTTTTCTCTGACAAATCACAGCTGTTATGGTAGGAAGGGAAAAAACCTCTTGAATTGCTGAAGATGAAGTATTATGATTTTCAGAGAAACAGCAAGCTAATAAGACAATAAATAGTTGGAAAAGATGGTAGAAAAATCAGGGAAACCAGATTATTGATAATCATTTGAATTAGTATGTTGAAAAAAATTGATGTGTCTATCTCCATCTAATAACACATCAACCAGCAATTTTCTTTTTCATACAAAAGTGAAATATTACTTTGGTATTCTGGTTTGAAAGAATTGTCCATCCAGAAATATTACCCACAAAATCATTATGCAGATTTGGGCAGTACTGCATTTCCATGGACCTCAAAGCAATTGGACTATTTGAATTCATAAATATACAACTGGAAACTCTCACAAAGCATATTTTTTATTGTTTGTTTAAGCCTGTATTATATCATCCTATTATATTGCCTTGTCACCAGAATCTAGTGCTAAATCCATCACCAGCCCTTTACTCTTCCTGCTAAATGGATTTGCCAATATTTGTGGAGGACAACTATCTATCTGTAACCTGGTGCAATCTACAACGTCCAGCCATAATTTACAATTTGCAGAGATCATGTGAGGTTAATCACACTTCTGCCTCCAGTGGCAAAAGAGACAGGCCCACTATGACACTCATCTCCAATTATTTCTGCAAGTAATATTTTAGTCCTACAAACAAATCCACTCTGAGGCTTCCCCTGTGTTCTACTTGTCTTAATGTTGCCTGTACACAAAGGACATATCTGGTGTTGCACCACATGTAATCCATAATGCTAAGCAAATATAAATGCTATGAGGAATATAGCTGGCAAAATTTCTTGTGTCTTCCTGGTTCCTTCTGTGTGAGATGCCAACAGATGCAGAAAAGGGGGAAATGCCATCCAGCTTCATCCAAAAATGGCCAAGAGATTTTCAATGCTAACCATGACACCCTACTAAACTCTTCTGTTAATCTAAGCGGTTTGGTTCGAGAAAATACCCAGGAAAATTTTGCATTTTCTTTTCCTCTATCAAAACGTAGGTTAGAAATTTTCCAACCAGTTCTAGCCTTGAATTGCATATACAATGTCAGGGTAGTGTCCTGAAGTCCAGAATCTGGCAGATGAGAGGGGAAAAAAATAAAGGAAAAATATATATTACCAAAAAAAATCTTAAGGGAAAGAATACACTTCATACATGTTAAACTACATCCTTATCTGCTGTAAACTGAGATAGCTTTATTTACACTAAGGTGAAGACCTAATGTGCAATCGTTGTAAAGGTGAAAAGTAGAATTGTATTTTAAACAAATACATAAACCATTAAAAATTTCCAAAGAAACGCCCAAATTTGTGGAAAATAGGAAACATTGCTACTCAAAAATCTAGTGCTTGCATGCCCCCAAATTTGTGGAAAATAGGAAACACTGCTACTCAAAAATCTAGTGCTTGCATGCCTATTAGAAAGCACAATGTATTCAAACACGGAAACTATGTGTTTAATTCCTGAGGAAATTCTTTTTTTTTTTTATACATGAGAAAAAGAAAGGAATTAGAATATTCTCAGGTGCCTAATATTCCTCTATTAACAAGCTCATTTCCTCCCTTTTGTCCTGTTCAAGCCATGGCCAACTATTTATGACTTCTATTAAGTGTGAAATTGTAGGTTAACTAAACATTGTTAGGAGCTGCTGTGGTAAAATAGAAATAACAGCACTGCAACACAGAGATTTCCATTTTGAAATGAACTGCAAAACAACCACTGCCACAAGATTGTGCCAACTGGGAATCACATTTTAAAGGAAAAATGAGCTGGATGAAGCAAAATGGTACAACACATTGAAAACCAAATTGACTCCCAAATCTTAGCAACCTGCTGGGGGATCTGCAAGGCAAAAAAACACATTGTTGGGAGAAATCTATTTGCTAAATAAAGGTTTGCACTTCTACCAGTTAGTTAGACAATGAAGGACTGTGCAGTGACCACCTGAACAGTCAAATTCTCCTTCTTCACCTGCCAGCAGGGAGAGATGACTTAAATACTTACATTTAGCAGCTGCTCAAAGGCATAGCTAAAGCCTTTTTTGTAATCTGTGATTCCTTTGGCAGAGATTTTATACACAGCTTCCTTCAGTTTCTTCTTGTTCCTCACATTAGCTTGGACAAGGTGGTTAAAGCAACTGACGTTCTGAGCATTATTGTTAAACTGTAAGATAAAGAGAAATAGATTAAAGACAGTTAATTCTCCTTTCTGGGTGCTGTAGTGGCAAAGGTTTATATTTTTTGGGTCCATGAGACAAAGACATCACACCTAGATTTTCAGTTCCATTGAAAACATTCAGCAGTGTCTGGAGCTTTCAAAATGGGGTGACAGATAGTGGTTTTTCCAAATAGGTATTTGAGGCTTCACTTTGTCATGATCCAAAAAACTCTACTACAGTAGAAAAATTCCAAATCGTGTTTAGAGTTTATATACTGACATAAATCTCAGAAATGCAGAGTTAAGGAAATAAAAAGCCTGGCAAAAAAAAAATATAGTTCACTTTTTTTAAAGCACTGAAAAATATTTTCTATTGCATGTATTAGTTTGGTGGTTTACAGTGAAACTTGCAGATCATATTCAATTAGCACATATACCTTATGGAAAACAAAATACACTCTTGGGACAAAGGAAACCCATGGGAATATAGCTGCAAATACCAGAATATTGTTAATAACAATGTAAATTTATGTATTGAGAACACATATATTTCTACTGTCTTAACCTCATATCCAGGCAGACTAGTCCCTGAAAATTTAATTGATGTGAAATCCTGATAGTAAGCAAAACCATACATAGAACATTTTTTAAGGGTAAAATGCTGTCTGCACAAGTAGAAACCAGTTTATGACCACTTTAAAATTCCTCTCTGTATAAATATACACACATTCATGTGTATGTACAAATATCCTGGTAGAGAGAGGGGGATGCAGAAATATGTCTCACTTTTTAGCTGTAGAATGTATCATTTTAACTTCAGTTTTGAATGAAAATGCATATCACAGAATCAGAGAGTAACCAGAGTTGGAAGAGACCTTTGGGGATCATCTAGTCCATCCCCTGCCCTGCACAGACATCCCTGACAGTCACACCCTGTGCTGAGAGCATTGGCCAAACACCTCTGGAGCTCTGTCAGCCTTGGGGCTGTGACACTGCCCTGGGAGCTGTTCAGTGCCCAAACACCTCTGGGGAAAGAAGAACCAGTTGCTAATCTCCAACCTAACCCTCCCCTGACACAACTCCAGCCCATTCCCTTTGGTTTTACTGAATATAAGATGTGGCTAACTAAATTTGAATGAAAATCTCCTTTTAACTACAATACAGTGACTTTTATTTAAAATACTCTTGACTCATATTACTAAAACTATTGTCTCGGCCAATATTTGAACTGTTTCATCTAACAAGACTTGTGTGACCTTTTTTCCTCATTGGGAAAGAATATGTTCAAAACCCTCTGTAAAACTCCATCTCAGTAAAGACACGAAAATCCAGACCTCCCCAAAACCCTCTGTAAAACTCCATTTCAGTAAAGACACGAAAATCCAGACCTCCTAATTTACATTTCAGCTGAAAGCAGATTATTATGCCTTTTTCTGATTATGTCAGAAGTCTCACTCCTGCTAACTAGTTTAATAGTGCTCTATAGAATAGAAGGTAAGCAATGTCACAGATTTCCAAATATGCTCAGACTACTTAGATGTCTAGAATAAACTATGAAGTATCAGGCACAAAGTAGGGAGAGAGAACTGCTGTTAGCATCAAGAACCAACTTGCACTGTAACTGCAGGACACTTGTAATGCACAAAACTTATAAGGATGAAGAGATTGATAACATCTAACCAAGTTTCATAATGCTTAGTATTTCAATCCAAGTTATTATGATGCTTAGGGGGAATGCAGACTTTTCCCTGTCCTGGAATCAGATGCTCCTAGCTCTTAGGGCCAACCAAAATATGAACTACCAATAAGTTTTATTTAACTTCCACTTTACTCAATGAGATTTTTTGCTATGGAATTGTTAGGAGCAAATGTGCACAGCAAATACAACACAGCTTATGGCAGAGATGACTGACACAGAGAGGGATCATCCTCAGCAGAAGGCTTAGCCTAATTTGTTCCATATCCTTCTTGAAAACAACCAGGGAGCTGCAGCTCTGGGGATTTGGGGTGTAAGTGAGCAAATCCAGGAGTTATTTGCTATGCTGGATTTTTCCTTCATGTTCCACAGACAATTTCTTACTGTCACAGAGAGAATGTGTCAAAGAGCCCCACGCACTAAAGACTTTAAAGCATGAACTTGTCTGCTTCATCTTGTCATAAAATTATTGTTTTTTCCAGAGAGAGTGCTCAGGCATTGGAATGTGCTGCCCAGGGAGGTGGTGGATTCACCATCCCTGGAGGTTTTCAAGCTGAGACTGGATGTGGCACTTAGTGCCATGGGCTAGTGACCACAGTAGTGTTGGACTCGATGATCTTTGAGGTCTCTTCCAATCTGGTTGATTCTAAGATTCTATTGCAGCAGAAGTCACTCTGGTATGTGTGCAGAAACTAAACCTGGAGAAGAGAAGGTTGTGTGGAGACCTCAGAGCAACTTTTCAATATCTGAAGGGGCTACAAGGGAGTTAGAGAGGTATTCTGTGTTAGGAACTGCAATGATAGGACAAGGGGTAATGGGTTCAAACCGAAGGAGGGAAAGTCTAGGTTGGATGTTAGGTAGAAGGTTTTTACTCTAAGGGTGGTGAGACACTGTCCCAGGTTGCCCAGGGAGGCTGTGGCTGCCCCAACCCTGGCAGTGTTCACAGCCAGGTTGGATGAGCCTTGAGCAACCTGATCTAGTGAGGAGATGTCCCTGCCCAGGGCAGGGGTTGGGACTAGATGATCTGTGAGGTCCATTCCAAGCCTTAAATTCTATGATTCTATGATTAAAACCTATTTTGATTTATTTTAATCATACCATGCCATCTTCATATTGCACTTATTTTCTAGGGAGTTTGTTTTTGCTTTTCCCTCATGAGTTAAAATTGTCTTTTGGTGAGATACCATTATTTCTTCAGTAGAGTTGATGTTTTCCTGTGGACTGTATTAGCTAATAAAGAACATTGATTCTTCCTAAGCAGAACACACTATGAGAATACCCACAGAAGAATCTTCAACTATCTTTCTAATTAATAAGTGCAGTAATTACTCTGTCCCAATTTTACAATTCTGGTCCCCATTTGATTAAAATCTGTGGGTGCATGTTATTCTCAATTGACTTTATGCAAAGTTTTCTGTCCCTTGTCTATCAACATGCAGTTCCCAACATGTCACAAGGGGACAACTATTTCCACAAACAGACAAAGGCAAAAACAAGTGCTTTAAATTTGGGAAATGCAATGTTACATTTGACTATGTATTATACATGAGTCAGTTGTATATAATGGTATGAAAAAAGTTGCGTGTTTATTTTTGTAATATTCTAATTATCAAGGCTTTACTTTTTGCAATACCACAACTATGAATATAGGACTGTATCTACATTATTTACAGAAACAAAAGTATGTAAACACGATGAAAAAATGAAGATTAAAAATATTGCCTATTTCTCCTAGTGTCACAATGCAAACTTCACCTTTAAAATACACAAATACATGGATTTGGACTACATATAATCAGAGTTTTATCTTGAATATTCCTTTAATGTATGCCATATTTCAAAAAAACCCAAAAGAATATTTTGGTAGGACCAAAATACACAGCATGTTTTGCTGCTTAAGCTAAACCAGAAGATGATCACACAACTGTAATCAGTTCAGTTTGATGCAAAACACTGACACACTCAATGATGATTCCAATAAAAGTTTCTGAGAGAAGTAACCAGGAAATCACCCAATGATTATTGGATCCATAAAGCATTGTAATCAGTTTGATGCAAAACACTGACACACTCAATGATGATTCCAATAAAAGTTTCTGAGAGAAGTAACCAGGAAATCACCCAATGATTATTGGATCCATAAAGCATGTGGGAGTGAAAACACTATTGTGCTGTGGAATTATTGCAGTTTGCATCAACCTAAGTTTATAGCCATGACAGGAAAATTACAAACATAAAGAAATTTTATAAAGACAAGGAGTACTGACACACTCAATGATGATTCCAATAAAAGTTTCTGAGAGAAGTAACCAGGAAATCACCCAATGATTATTGGATCCATAAAGCATGTGGGAGTGAAAACACTATTGTGCTGTGGAATTATTGCAGTTTGCATCAACCTAAGTTTATAGCCATGACAGGAAAATTACAAACATAAAGAAATTTTATAAAGACAAGGAGTGAAAACAAGTTCTAATTGTGAGATGGGGTGAAAGTACAGAACTTGTACTTGGAAAGAAGAAGGAAAACATTACCTGGTAAGTAGCTCTGGTCTACAAAAAGCAATTTCATCTCAAAAACTCAAGTCAAAACTGCTCTGCTCATCTGTTCAGTTTTGGGCCCCTCAATTGGAAAAGGAGATTGAGGCACTGGAGTGAGTCCAGCCAAGGGCAAGGAAGGTCAGAAAAGGTCTAGAACACATCTAGGATGAGGAAGGACTGAGGGAATTGGGTTTGTTTAGCCTTGAGAAGAGGCCAGGGCTGCAGGGAGAGGACTAGAGGGAATGGTCATAAACTGAGACAGGGGAGAGTCAGATTAGATGTTAGGAAAAATGTTTTCC